ATATATATTTATAAACTCTTAACTAGTTCGTCCAATGTTTATCCTTGCTTATTCGATAACATCAATATCATATGGACAACCTGAGTTGTCTTATACATCTTATTCGTTATGCCGCAACCAACATATGGTTTCTATTATAAAACTTGCGCATAAGGCTTGGTGGAACTTAGCTAAGGTTGAGTCTGATAGTTTATAAGACTTGAAAAGAATTTAAAAATACTTGGTTATACTCAAATTTGAGTAATGAAAATTCTTCAATGAAAAAGGGATTAAACTTACCTCTAAATTATAAAGTAAACAATATAAAAAACTTTTGTGTTTGTCTCTTCTATTTTCTCTATTGTATCTAAAGGATTTGTTTCCAATTCTATATTTGTGAAAGGCTAACTAATTTTTAAAAGGTTTTTCATAAATTTTAAACACACAATTTAATTTTCATTCTTATATATTAATCTGGTTGTTTTTCACCTACCATTTACAATTTTTAATGGTTTCTATCACAAATATATAGTGTTTCAACTGAAAGTTATTGGTGTCAATACATCACTACTAAAATATTGTCTGTTTTGATACTCGTTGGCTCATCACAATTTTATCTTTAAAAAAGTATTTTAATTAAGAGATGGAGGGTATTTTTTGTTATCTCTTTGACAAGTGTAGAAACTCATACAAGTAGTTTAATTAATGATGATCGAGTGTGAGTATTGTCTCCTAAAAGATTTACGTAATACTTGAGACAAATCACTAAATATGCTAAACTAAATTATTAAAAATAGAAATTTTGATTGTTTGCAAAAATAAAGAAAGTGCATAAACAAAGATAAATATTAATTATATGAATTCTTTTTTGTATTTTTACAAACACTTAGAATGCAAAAACTAATTTTAACAAAATAATAAAATATGTTGGAAATTTAACTTCACCAAACCATTTTTTCATGCTTACAATAATTTTTAATCCAATTATAAGTTTAGAAATTATCATCTAATTCACAAATATACTCATACATTAATTCCTTGAATGTTAGAGTCTAAACTTTTTGACTAAGTTATCAATTCCTTGCATAACTTAACCAAAACCCAATTTTAAAAACAAAAATCTATGAATGACTAATGACTTATACTTCATTCTTGGAGGTAAATGCTATTAGCTATTGTACTTCAACTCAAAGGTTTACAAGTATTTTTTAATCACTTTAAACCCACAAAATCAAGTTAAGGGTGATCAAATCATAATAAGTATTAAGTAAAGAAGAGAACAATAATATTGAATAATGACTAGGATTAATAACTTAAAATGTAAACATGAGAATATGTATGGTTACATCAAACTCCAATAAGGGTGAGCTTATAGCTATACATAGACATAGAGCACAATAAAAATGATGAAAAAAAAAAAGACTTGAAGTCATAGGAGCTCTTCCAATTGCTAGACATACTCCAAGAAATGTTCCTTAATGATGTGTCTTCCAATCTCTTGATTTTAGGTCATAAACCCTTTTATCTCTCCTCATTAATGACATTTCAACGATTTGGCACTAAGTTCGAGATATGTAATTATACAAATTGACTTCTAGAGCTATGGAGCTAAGTGTGGAATTTTGTGCTTAGCATGACAAAATGAATCAACTTGCTAACCTCTTTGGAAGGTTGGCACTAAGTGTGGGGTTCCACCCTTAGCACCAATACTTAGTCAAATTTCTTCTTCTCTTTTGATGCTTGATCAAGCTTTGTACTTGCTTCATTTAGTGTTTCATATCCTTTTCCTTCTCGTTTACAAAATAACATAAAAAAAAAGCTTGTAAATTTCCTAAAAGTTTAAGTTATAAACTAAAGTTAACTTTGTACAAATTAAAATACAAGGACTCAAGTAGAAAAAGAAATTAAGACTAGTGTTTCAATTTATACTATGAAATTAAAGCAAATATGATACATATCATTTATAAACTACCTTTAGTCTCAATTTTTAAGAGATATGAAACTTTTAATTGATAAACAACCTTTTTCCTTAACCCATCCAAAAGTCTTTTCAAGGATAAATATGTGACCTTAATGATGATAGCAAATATACAGTCGAAACATTGACACTAGAAGAAGGCCTAAGTCACTCTTACCCCTTAGCCTAGATTGAGGTTTGTTCCAATATGTCTAAAAATTCCACATCGTTTAGAAATTGAGACTAAGGATAGTTTATATAAACACACTTTTTCCTTAATCCATTGAAATATTTTTTTAAGAAAAAGAATTTTGATGACCCAACGAGTATCAAAGTAGAGAATACCTCAAATGTGTAACTCTAACAATGCTAACAAACTTACGGTCAGAATAATTACTAATATTTAAATTTGATATTCAATTATATAGTCCAATAAACAAATTAAAAGTTAAAAGTGTAGCTAGTTAATATAATAAAACACATGATCACTATCTTCGAAATATTACTGATTCACGAGGTAAAATAAAGACTCTAAGCTGAGGATTATTCACCATTCATTTGCAGTACACCTAAACAAAATAAAAAAAGAAAGAAAAATAAAGAACTTGGGATGACTAGACCAAAACCAAAGAAAAATTAACAGAAATAAAAATAAGGTAGATTGCAATGGTTAGGGAAAAACTCAGACTGAATAAAAGATGGTAAAGTGTCTTACCAAATAAAACCATTCCTATGTGCTAAAGCATATGCCACAAGTTTATCAACACACCGATTACCCTCTCTAAAAATATAAGAAGCTTGAAACTGCTTCTTAGAACACAAAACCAAACAACTTCCATTGACTACGAATAGACCAATGCAGTAAGTTGGGATTGTGAATGACATGTAAAACCATCATGAAATCACATTCTAATCACAACCTATGCCATCCTGCAAAAAATGCATATGCAATCGCTAACATAGCAACAACCAACTTCACCTTCAAGGCATCAACAACACAAATGTTAAGACAAATCCTCCTAAGAAAATCCCACTACTATCTCTAAACAAACCTTTAGTAGCAACGTGCCTTAGAGAGAAAAATAAGAAACTGCCACAAAGAGCAAGATGCATGCCCTTTGGAAAGCGAACCAAAAAGTGAGACTACTGAAATAACCATAGAAACCGCTGAGAGGATAGGGATTCTAACATTTTTAAAGTGCAGACTAATTTTAGACAACCATGTCACCTATATAACGTGGGTAAAAGTAGAAAGCAAAACATCACTTGAGTACTCCACCTCCTATCAAGCATAGAAAACAAAGACTCCGCATATGAAAGGAGGAATAACACTTGACCATAGGTGTTTAAATTGAGATTTGTTAGAATTTTTAAATTTAGTATAAGCATATTTACTATTGTTACAGTTTTATATTTTATGCATAGGCATCATCTTCTATGAATTTTAATGGCAATTTGCCATTTTTAATTTTAATTTCAATTTTTTTACAAGATCCAATTTTTCTATATTTCTCAGAAAATATTTCTAATAATGGTATCAAGAGCTTGCATCCTACGGTTTGTGAGAAAAAAATTTATTGAGCGCTAAATACTAATACAGTGAGATTTAGTATTAAATTGAGTGATTTTTTATTTAAGCAATTATAGTGTAAAGATGTCTATTTTCACCAATTCACTTACAATTCCAATGTTTAATGATTAAAAATACGAAGAAAAAAAATTAAAATAAATTTTCTCATAAGTTAAAATTAATTTATGCATGAATTAAAAATAAGGATTTTGAAAAAAACTAATAAGAGAAAAGTTTTACAAATTAATTTATATATTAAGTTAATTTCAATAAAAAAATATTTTATTTTTTATTTTTACCTTATGAAAATGTCTCCGAGAAATTTACCCAAACATGTTTTAGGTGTGTGCGTAGAAGTGAGATAAGGTGTGTGATGAGGTCATGGCAGTGGTAATTGATGGGTTCGGATGGTTTACGGATGTTTAGAGGAGGTTTTCATGGTTACTTTGAGTGTGAGGGAACTAGAAAAGCAAAGACATGAGACTTTTTAAAAAAATTTTTTTTTTTATTAAATTAGAGTGTGTAACTTTTATCTTTCATTTTAATTTTCTCCTTTCAAACAACCTTAAAAGTCGTCCCACTTTTTAACCATTTTTATTTGCTTCTAAACCAAACAAACATTAGTTTCCATCAATGGGGACAGCTGAAGAGAAAGTAAAAGAAACGTCCCTCTTTCTTGTAACGGTTTTCAAATATTTTGACGACTCATGCATTCCAGAGAATTCCATGGATATTGCTTTTATTTCTTTAATTCTCATTATATATATATTATTCTTTTGAGCCATGTCACGTGTTGTGTATTATGAGAGAGTGAGTGAGAGACAACATGAAAATTATTATGCAGAAAATAGAACCTCAATTTGTGCTTTACTGTGGCACTGGGTATTTGTAATTCTTTTCATATTTTTTTTTACTGTTTTTCAACGTTAAGTCATTAGATTAGATTAATAATATTAAATTAAAATAAATTATTAAATGGATTTTCTTTTTGTTGTTGTTTATCTATTTCGTTTTCATTTTTTCCCATGATTACTATATTTTTTTTTTCTCTATTAAAAAGATATCATCAATGTTTAGGCAAACGAATTTAAATTACATGGATAGATTTTACAGATGGATGACATGCATATATTGCAACGACAAAAAGTTTGTTTGTGGCTTTTATCAGATTATAGGATGTTGGCTTTGTCTATCATTATACCCCTTGTAATTGTTTCCTGTGAGTGAATATTATCTAAGGTCTCAGGTGGGTGAAACTAATGCCTAGTTGTATACACATTTCTTCACGCACTTGGATCCTCTGGTGTCATGGTGTCTCTGCAGCAGATATATTAACATTTGGATTCATATCATATATGATGGTAATAAAAACTAAAAATATTAAAAATAATGCAGACAAGCTGAACAAGTTATTTAAACTGCTTGAGCATTACTACATTGTAACAAAACAGAATTACTTGAGACATTATAAAGTGTATGGCTCATCATAATATAATTAACAATTATTATTGTCTTGATAGTATGCTTATCTAATACATTTGTTTGGATACATGAAACAATGTTAAGCGGGATCTCAGAACAGCACTTTCTCTAGTTATGTATAATCAAATTACTGGTATGTCACACATTAGAAGGTTAAGCCTTAACATTTTCTTGCATCCCTTTTCTATCTTGCACCTAACGATGTGATGGACAGTTCATTAACTGAGCATAATTTGTGATTTTCCCATGGAGAATTTGCTTCAGATGTAACATCTATCTCGGTGTAAAAACCAGGAACCTTTGGCTTTGGTAGTAACTTATCACCATTCAACATTAAAACAACAGATGACATGTTTGGCCTATCTTCTGGTCTTTGTTGCACGCATAGTAGGCCAACTTGTATGCATCGTATGACTTCTGAGGATACACATTGTTTTTCTAACACTTCATCCAGTAGTTTCATTGTCCTCTCTTCAGTCCATAATCTCCAAGACTGAGATGATGAGAATTAAGTTAGTAGGTTGGAATTGGAAATTATTAAATTTATACTAAGTAGCATCATTGTTAATTCAATATGCTTACATGGCCAAGAAGATTATTGTTGTTTTCTGGGTCTGAAAATTCTCTGTTTTTCTTCCCACTCACAATCTCTAGTACTATCACACCATAACCAAAGACATCTGATTTCATTGAGAAATGTCCACGTGCAGCATATTCCGGAGGTATGTAACCGCTGAAAATAATTTTTTCATTGTTAAATAAATAGAAATTGACAACACAATATTAAAGAATCAAATTCACATAGAAACTAACTATGTTCCAGCCACCCTATTCGTGTTTGCCTCAACTTGATCTCCTACAAATAATCGAGCCAAGCCAAAGTCTGATATTTTGGGATCCAAATTTGCGTCTAGTAAAATGTTGCTAGTTTTAAGATCTCTGTGAACAATCCTCAGCCTAGAGTCTTGATGAAGATATAAAAGTCCTCGAGCTATGCCACTAATAATGTTGAAACGCTTATCCCAATCTAGCAAGTTCCTTTTGGTCTCATCTAATAAAAAAGAGACATGCATTTAGCATAGCAGTTGCAGCCTCCATCAATTCATATGCCACAGATAGGAAATTAAATACATAGATGTTTAGAATAAATCATAAGGGTCCAACCAAAAACAAACTTGTCCAAGTTTTTGTTCGCCATGTATTCATAAATTAATATTTTTTCTTCCCCTTCGATGCAACAACCAAGAAGCTTTACAAGATTACGATGCTGAAGTTTTGCAATCAATGCGACTTCATTTTTTAACTCTTCTAACCCTTGTCCTGATTTCTTTGAAAGCCTTTTCACTGCTAACTCTTGTCCATCTATCAGTGTGCCCTGGAAAAAATCATCTGCTAAAGTAAGAAAGTTTTAAAGCAAAATAGAGGCTCAGTATGTCAGATTTCTTTATCACCTTATAAACTGGTCCAAAGCCACCTTCTCCAAGTTTGTTTCTGATTGAAAAGTTTTCAGTAGCATTAGCTAAGACTGACAAATTGAAAGTTGGCAACTCAACATCTTCTTTTTTCTGTTTAATTTTGTAATGCTTGCTGATAAGTTTTCTTGCTGCCCCTGATTGGTTGGAAAATAACAATATTTAAACACTAACATATAATACTAATATGCATAGATTTTTTTTTTCTTCTTTTCTTGTTCCTAATAGCTGTATTCGATAGTGAATTACATCTATGTACGTACCTGGATTTTTTATCATGAATATGCATGCACTTATGACTAATCCGAAAATAATCACCCCAACTGTGATTTCTACTATCTTTTTCTTCATGTTTCCATGGCCAGCATGATCTAAAAGAAACAGAGCATGATCAGTCACCAACTTTAAGAACAACAGCTATGGATTAAAGCTGAGAAAGTGACTCTAATCTCTTTAGACCGAGTGAGGTAGAAAAAACAATATTTAATAAAAGTAATTGCCATCTGATATACAGCATGCATTAGTAATAACTTTCTTTTCAGTGAGCAAAATATTACAACCCGTAGATCTTCCTTTTGATGATTGTCTTGAGCATGAGATTTCAAGCCATAATAATAGAAAGAAAATCAATCAAAGGCAAAAGACAAAATGAAAATAAACACGTACCTAATTCTGAAGCAGGGACTCTGATATACAAGTCTTGTCCCCGTTGAGAGAATTTCCTTGTGTCAACTAGATTATTAAACCAGAGCAGACACCCACTTCCTCCATCTCGAATATCTAAACTTGCATATGCTGTACAAGAACAGTTTTTAATACACGAATTCTTACATTCTTCTAGGTTCATGGTTGTATTGTACCTTGCTGAAGACGTGTCTGGTATTTTCATGTTGGTGTACTTCAAGAAGCCATCTGTGTAACTGTTTTTGCAATTTGATTTATTCCTTGGAACACATCCATTGGACCAAATTGCTATATTCCACTGATCAGAAGACTTGGGAGCATAGCCTCTAATGCATTCACAATTTGGAATGCTACCTTCATAGTTGCATATAGCATTTGCACCACAAAAGGCATATTGATCGCATGGATCTCTTTCCCCAGTTGAGACGAGTTGCCGATTTCTACTTTGAGTTGTCCAAAACCAAGTCTGCGCTTTGCCCGAAGGAGTCAGTGTATGTACACAGAAGACCGATCTATCACGAAGCCAGTACTCATAATACACCTCTTTTTTATTCAACACAAACTTTTGCGATATTTCATGAGTTGGACCCGTATTTCCAACATTAGACAATCCATTCCATGACCCTGCTCTCGTTATTATATGAGTTCCCTGGAATTCAATTGATTGAGGGTACCCTCTGAGATCAATTTTTTGAGTATATTCCCCCTCAACAGGATCATCAACACTTTGCCAAGATGATAGATATCTTTCTAGATCAGTCTCCAAGTTCCATCCAAGTTTCATCATTGGCAACAATGTATCACCCGTATAATCAAAACTCGGCCACAAGATGTTGTCATCGTGAGTTCCCTGTCCATTTCTCACTACAAAATTTCCCGAATCCAATGGATGAGCAGTTGAACTATTCAATGCTATGCTAGATATGTTGGATTTCCAAATGGTGCTGTTTGTAGCATTGAGAAGCAGAAGAATCCCTTTTTCATCGAGTTTGAGAACTCCTGATTTGTTCTCAAGAGGTGTGTTTCGGTTAGCCACCCACACCACAGTGAAAGGGGATACATTTGTGTACCATATACCCAAGTATCTTCTTGTTGAATTTCCTGGACTGAAGAAACCAACTTCAATAATTCCACCGGCTGAAACCAAAGTATCACCATCTCTGATAGATTGACCCATTGCTAAACTGTCTAGTGAAGTTGAAGTTGTAACCATGTAGGAGAATAATAAGAACCAAATGAATAACATTTTGATGCTATGGAAGCAATGACTTCTAAATTACGTTTGCAACCACGATATGGCCTCTACCACTAGTAGAAGTAGAAGGTTGAGGAAGACGAGCTTTTTCCGTGAATAAAAGCGTTTTATATTACACGGAGGAAGAGGATAGCCATAAAATAAGTGAAGTGATTTTGAAAGTGGGGGCGAAAGGAAGTTGCAAAAATCAATGTTACAATGTTAGATGGTTCGTAGAGTAATATACCAAGACAACACATTGAACACAATGCTCATTGTTGTCAAAGAAGACTTGTGAGTCAATGACGGGCCACAGACATCCAAATGTGTTGAAAAACTTATGTTACTGATTGTTTACACTTTGAAAAGAATATAGCGTGATGTCGAAAAATACCAAGGCAAATTTCCTTGCAAGATCTGACATTAATTCTAAAAAATTAAAATACAAATAAAATTCAATAAATTTATTGTTTTCAAAAATAGAGAATTTTTTATTTTAGTCCTTTCATTCTTTATATACTCTTAACTAGTTCGTCCAATGTCTATCCTTGCTTATTTGATAACATCAATATCATATGGACAACCTGAGTTGTCTTATACATCTTATTCGTTATGCCGCAACGAACATATGTTTTCTATTATAAATCTTGCGCTTATTTTTGTTGGGTTTTAGTAGGATACTATTTCAAATTAAGTTATGCAAAGATATTAGCTTGACAAGAAACTTGCGCATAAGGCTTGGTGGAGCTTAGCTAAGGTTAAGTCTGATAGTTTATAAGACTTGAAAAGAATTTAAAAATACTTGGTTGTACTCAAATTTGAGTAATGAAAATTCTTCAATGAAGAAGGGATTAAACTTACCTCTAAATTATAAAGTAAACAATATAAAATCTTGTGTGTTTGTCTTTTCTATTTTCTCTATTGTATCCTGAGAATTTGTTCCCAAGTATATTTGTGAAAGGCTAAGTAAATTTTAAAAGGTTTTTCAAAAGTTTTAAACACGCTATTCAATTTTCATTCTTATATATTAACCTGGTTGTTTTTCACCTACCATTTACAATTTTTAATGGTTTCTATCACAAATAGTATTTCAACGGTAAGTCATTGGTGTCATTAGAGTCACTACATTGGAATATTGTCTGTTTTAATATTCGTTGATTCATTACAATTTTATCTTCAAAAAGGTGTTTTAACTAAAGATGGAGGGTATTTTTTGTTATCTCTTTGATAAATGTAGAAATTCATACAAGTAGTTTAATGATGAGTGTGGGTATCGTCTCCTAAAGGATTTATGTAATACTTGACACAAATTACTAAATATGTTAAACTAAATTATTAAAAATGGAAATTTTGATTGTTTGCAAAAATAAAGAAAGTGCATAAACAAAGATAAATATTATACAAATCCTTTTTTGTATTTTTACAAACACTTATAATGCAAAAACTAATTTTAATAAAATAATAAAATATATTGGAAATTTAACTTCACCAAACCATTTTTTCATGCTTACAATAATTTTTAACCCAATTATAAGTTTAGAAATTATCATCCAATTTGCAAATATACTCATACATTAATTCCTTGAATGTTAGAGTCTAAACTTTTTGACTAAGTTATCAATTCCTTGCATAACTTAACCAAGGACCCAACTTTAAGAACAAAAATCTATGAATGACTAATGACTTTTACTTCATTCTTGGAGGTAAATGCTATTAGCTATTGTACTTCAATTCAAAGGTTTACAAGTATTTTTTAATCACTTTAAACCCACAAAATCAAGTTAAGGGTGATCAAACCATAACAAACATTAAGTAAAGAAGAGAGCAATAATATTAAATAATGACTCGGATTAATAACTTAGAATGTGAACATAAGAATATGTATGGTTAAATCAAATTCCAACAAGGGTGAGCTTAGTTATACATAGACATAGAGCACAACAAAAATGATGAAAAAAAAGACTTATCTTGAAGTCATATGAGCTCTTCCAACTGCCATACACACTCCAAGAAATGTTCCTTAATGATGTGTCTTCCATAAACCCTTTTATCTCTCCTCATTAATGACATTGATATTTTAGCATTTTGGCACTAAGTGTGTTATACGTAATTATACAAATTGACTTCTAGAGCTACGGAGCTAAGTATGGAATTTTGTGCTTAGCGTGACAAAATGAATCAACTTGCTAACCTTTTTGGAAGGTTGGCACTAAGTGTGGGGTTCCACCCTTAACACTAATACTTAGTCAAATTTCTTCTTCTCTCTTGATGCTTGACCAAGCTTTCCACTTGCTTCTTTTAATGTTTCATATCATTTTCCTTCTCATTTGCAAAATAACATAAAAAAAGGCTTATAAATTTCCTAAAAGCTTAAGTTATAAACAAAAGTTAACTTTCTACAAATTAAAATACAAGTACTCAAGTAAAAAAAGAAATTAAGACAGTTGTTTCAATTTATACTATGAAATTAAAGCAAATATGATACATATCATTTATAAACTACCTTTAGCCTTGATTTTTAAGAGATGTGAAACTTTTAATTGATAAACAACCTTTTTCCTTAACCCATCCAAATGTCTTTTCAAGGATAAACATGTGACCTTAATGATGCTAGCAAATATACGGTTGAAACATTGATACTAGAAGAAAGGCCTAGGTCACTCTTATACCTTAGCCTATATTAATTGGGGGCTTGTTCCAATATATCTAAAAATTCCATATCATTTAGAAATTGAGACTAAGGATAGTTTATTATAAACACACTTTTAATTTCCTTAACCCACCAAAATATTTTTTTAAGAAAAAAAAAGTAATGACCCAACGAGTATCAAAGCAAACAATACCTCAAATGTGTAACTCTATAACAATGCTAACGAACTTACGATCAGAATAATTACTAATAATTAAATTTGATATTCAATTATATAGTCTAATAAATAAATTAAAAGCTAAAAGTGTAGCTAGTTATTATATAATAAAACATATGATCACTATCTTTGAAATATTACTAATTCATGAGCTAAAATAAAGACTCTAAGCTGAGGATTATTCACCATTTATTTGCAGTATGATGAGGTTTTTGCGAATACTCCACTTGACAAGCGGACCAAGTTTCGATGTAGTATTTAATTAAGTATCGTCCTCAGGGATTTGAGAATTTAGTAATTCTTACTCTAATGATCTAATAAGAGACATTGATATGATTGAAAGTGAATTAATGTGAAATAAAATAGAACGATAATGTAAAATTTATAAGAACAATTCTAAGAAGCAAGGATTGGACTCAAGAGCACTTTCTAACTCTTAAATCTTCTTAAAATAAATATGATTTCAATTTCATGACTTCCACATTCATTTAGTAATTCAACAAGATCCCTCAAAGTTGAATCCTAAAGTGATTAATCTAAAACGTGATTCCTCTATGTTTTGAGATTAACACTTTGCATTAAGAACAATGACTTGAACAAGGTGACTAAACAAATCAAGTCTATTCCTAGAACAAGAGATGTTTAGGTGCAAGATTCAGTTTGGGTTTTCAAAAATGTTTTCCAACCGGATTCAAAAATAAAAAAATCATACAATGGGTGATCAAACCGATATAAGCATTAAGAGAAGAATCAAACACAAGTGATGAGAATGAAATGCATATATATTTAAGAAAAAGAAGAGTTAGTAGTTACATCCGAACCAATCCTCAATAATTCAGCCCCTTATGGCCATTTACAAGATCAAAGGAGTGGAAGAAGAAAGTACAAAGGAAGATATGAAGAAAAGGAGTTGATCCTCGTTCCCAATTGATCCAGCCTCCAAATCTTTGTTCCCACTTCTTTCTTCCTTCTATGCTCCCAGCTCTTGTTTTTCTCTTTGTTTTCGTGATCCCTTTCAGTTCTTCTATTACCCTTTTATATTAGCTTCAAAACAGGGGAAAATTACAACTTTCAAGCCCACTGCTGCAGCTATAGAATCACAACTATGGATGTGGAGAGTTCTTCAAGGTGAAGTAAGCTTCACAACTGTAGCTTAAGGAACCTCTAACGTTGTACATGTGAATTTCATAACTATGGTTGTGACTCTCTGGTGCTCTCTCTCAATCATCAATGTTCCATGGCTCAAGCTGTGAGCCTACAACTTTAGCTTCAAGTCTCTGAACCCTTAAATTTGCATTCCAGATTTCTACAGCTATAGCTGCAGAACCACAACTATAGCTGCAACTTTCTGACCTTCTGATTTCTCTCCATATTTCCACATCTATAGCTCTAGAACCACAACTATGGCTATGAAACTTTGTCTTCCTGAATTTTCTACAAAAAAGGAGGGAAATCATTAAAATTTTTCTACTATTCTTTTATTTATTTAATATAACTTTATTCTTCCAAATTTAGGGGTAAAATATCATATATATATATATATATATATATATATATATATATCTAAAAT